TTATTTTGATTATATCAAGAGATATGGTCAAGAGAAAAGTTAGGAAGAGAGTTATTCTTCGACCAAGTCAAAAACCAACCCTTTAAATCCATTTTTGAGTAGTACAGTTCAATTTATTAGACTATTTCTTCCAACTTCTTAAATTCATTAATGAAACAATTGTTGGTGAAGTGATTGTTGATAAAATGAATCAAACCCATATTTATTCTACGTTATCAAATTCGTGATTTTAATTGGTCAATCAACAAATTGCATGGGTTAAAATTTTGTATTCCTCCTGTTAATTTTTGTGTTCCCAGAATAGTCTCTCCTGTTTTATCTGGGTGCTTGAGTACTTGGTCAATCAATAAAGCTCAACATCTGGATAATCAGTCAGTCAATAAAACTCAACACCTGGATAATTGTCATAAGGCTCCACATGAGCCAGCTTGCAAGCCAAATAACTTAGTAGGCCCACAAGCCAGCTTGCAAGCTGAATAAGTTTTTTGGCTCACAAGCCAGCTCATGAGGAGCTTTAATCAGTCATTCACTGAATATCTGCCAAATATCCACTGAATATCCACTGAATATGCATTTTTGTTTTAAGAAATACAAATAACAACAGACCAATTTTATTCTAATGGTTGTCATTGTGTGTTTCCAGCTTCACTAAATACAGTCAAACCTTGCCACAGCAGATGAATGAAGATTTATTTAAAACCCATTGTGGCAAGATTTACTGATCTTGCCACAATGTAATTTTATGTTTTTATATTTAATGTGAATGTGAAACAAAAATTAAAAATCCGTTATAATTATAGTCCACTGTGACAAGGTCGCTCATTTGGAGTAGAAGTTACTACAATGCATAAATATTCTTTAAATAATAATGACACAGTTAGTATTCATATTACTTGATATATCATTATAATAGAAAGAATGTTGGTGATAGTGCAATAGTGGATAAAATAGTATTAACATGTTGTATTCTTTCAATTATGTGGATAAAAATTTTTATTTTTTATTATTATTATATTTCTGTACCGCTGATTATTCACCAATTATCCAGTGAAAGTTTTCAACACCTGATTAATTAATCAATGAAAAATTATCAACACCTGATTAACTGGATAATTGGTGAATAATCGATGAATATCATTTCAGTGGATACAACCACTACAAAAAGGGATTAAAATTACTTAGATCGCAATTATAACACAGTAACTTTTCATACAGCTACTAGTTTTCTTTCATTTAATTTTGATGCTACAGATCAAACGCAGATAATTGAAGAACCCTGGTTATATCAAAATTTAAATTATCACAAATTCAAGAACTTTTTGACATTACACCTGAGATGCAGAAATTACTTGATCAACAACTTTATAATTATTTTTCTATAATCTTAACTGAAGCATGTGCAGAAAAAGATAATAGTAAAAATAAGAAATTAGAAGAAAAGAATAATCTTTTAGAAAAAGGGGATACTGAGTTAAAAGAGGTTTTAGAAAAGAATAAACTTCTTGTTGATAAATGAAAAGCAAGAGCAGAGAAAGCTAAAATAGATAATGAAATTCATTTAAAGGCTTTAGGAACAGGAGGAAAAGAAAAATGAACTCAGAAAGAAGCATCAGCAAAGGAGATAGCAGAGAAAAACCAAAAATTAGAAATTTCTACAGTGTGGATCATCTATACTCAAAAGTTAAAATTTTTGAAATATTATGTGATCCACACATTTGATTTTGAAAAACTTACCACCATTCAATTCAGCTTTAAAAGGGGAGTCTATTAATCTAAAAAAAAAATTGTCTCAAATTTTCTTTCATAGATTTTTTAAATTTGAAAGTTATGCTCGGAAGTGCAACAATAATTTTCGTGTTACAATATTTTGAATCTCACGATCAAATTTGGTAATGATTTTCTTTTATTGTAATATGTTCGTTAAACTTTTTTGTTGTAAAGAACTTTTATTTATTAATAAAAAAAGGAAATAAATAAATCAAATAAATCAAATGTATGTTGTAGAAAATATTCTATGAAAAAAAAGTTGTTACACGAAATTTAATTGGTCTCAATTTCTTAAATGTATAACAAAATTCAGAATTTTCAAATGCTAAGGTTCTGCCAATTTTCAGTTTAAGAAAAAACCAGCCAATAAGTTTTGAAGCTTGAGTCATTAACAATAAAACTTATCAGTTAAATTTTTTAAAATGATATTATTTTTTTTGTTTTAGTATTTTGAAGTTGACCAATTGTTACTATAAGCAATTAATGGTTATAGATGATCTGCACTGTAGTAAGATAATTGAGAATAAAAATGCAAGAATTGGTGAATTAGAACAAGAACTAAACCAAGAAAGGGAAAAAGCAGAGGCATCTAATAAGATAATTTCAGAAAAAGAATCATGAAACAAAAATCTCACAGAAGAAAACAAAATTGATTACATTTAGCAGGATTTACCTGCTTTACCTAAAAAGCAAAGTAAATTTAGACAATTTAAAAACTGAATTCCATCAATTGGTGGAAAGCAAAAAAAGCCAAATTCAAGAGTTAGTTGCTAGAATAGAGGTAAGTAGATAATTGATGAGAGAACTAACTTACACACTTTTAGGTTTAGAAAGGTCAAGTTGGAAAACATGTGATTTTTGTTCTAATCATTATGGAGAAGATAATAAATCTGTTAACCAAATAGTAACTTGCATTAAGGTAAATGGTAAATATGTTGCAGATGGTGTAGTTTGTGAAGATTGTAAAGAAAAATTTGAGATTGATGAATTGGAAAAATGTGAGAGATGTGGTAGGTTACAAACCAAACATTATATTGATATATGTGGTGATAAATATGTTTGTTTTTGTATTAGGTACAAAGAAGACATGGAAGAAAAGGAACTTCCACATTTACCCTATGAAAGTCAAGCAGTTTCTTATGAGTGACAAATAAATGGATTACGGGAAGAATTAAACACTGCTGAATGAACTATCTATGAGGAGAGGGAAGTTCATGAAGATTTCATGAAAACTTCAGAAAAGTGAAGTAAAAAACAGAAGCAAGAATTATTAGATAAGATAAAGGAGTTAGAAGAGAATGGTAACTATAAAGATGAAATTAAAAATTAAAAATGCAGTTAGAACAGTTAACTTCTCAACAGCAAGTTGCTCAAATTGAAGTTAAAAAATGATCTTGATTGAAAATAAGAAAGTAATTGAGGAAATTTCCCTCTGTATAAATTGAAATTCATTTCTAACTATCAAAGAAAACAATAGTTATTTTCCTTTTAAAGATTTTTGCTTTTTATTAGGTAATAATGCATCATCATAATGTTTTCTTTTTCCAACATTTATTATTTTTCTTGGTAAATTTCATAAGTAATCCTTTCTTTTTTTAGATAAGCTTCCAGCATTTGAGTATTGAAAATATAAGGAGCAATTTTTTTTGCCAATAAAAAAATTTTTCTTATATATGGGGCATACTGCAACAAAACCAGACAAAGTGAACATTGGTATTACTAACAATTTCAGGGATCAAAATTTAGTGATTATTAAAATCCCCATTTGTTATATTTGGGGGGTTTCTAGCAAAAGGTAGCTTAATTCGTGTTCCACGAATAAAGGAAAGAACTTAATTAATGCTGATCGGGGCAAAAAATTTTATTTTCATATTAAAATTAATTTGGTCGATTTTTTTGCCCCCACAAAAAGTCACACATTTATT